ATATTCGACTACGAAAACACAGAATCCGTCCACTTCCTTGGCATCAAGGGGTGGCCCCTGGTATACTGCGATTTTACGAAAAGGTCCTCTACGATAACGTTTTCGGCATGGTTGACAGCTTTCCAACCCCCGGTATTCGTCTGGCTGCTGATTGCATCAAGCACAATCGTTCTGCTGACAGCTTACTCCCTTCACATCCCTGATAACCAGCGTGCCGCCTAACGCACAAATGCCATCTCTCAGCCCGAAAGGAAGAAAAGGAAAAGTAATCCTGCGGTCTCACCCCACCACCAGCTATGCCTACAGTTAATCTCCAAGCCAGATTAACAAACAGCTTCCTCAAGTTTGCAACTTGTACACCCTTCTGCACAGAAAATAACGATCATCGCCCTATATTGGCTTCCCCTTTCAACCGACCTACGCTGCAAACCCCCAGTCCCGACACTCTCCTCTAAACACAAACACACTAATAATTAACACTTATAAGGGAAGGTCCCCGACTGCTTATCGTGTGCAGGGTACCCACTATGTTTTGTTGAATCTACGAGGACCCCAGACGAAGGATTCATTCATGTTTCTTGTGTTAATCGCATATTTGGCGCCATGGCATAGCGCCAAACTTAAAAATCTGCGTTTTCGACCAATTTCAAACCTCCATAACTTTTCTAGTTTCCGGGGGATTTTCAAAATTTTGGGCTTAAAATGACCACAAATTTAAGAAATAAATAAAAAACGAAATATTTTTTGATATTTTTTCGGCGAATCCCCAAGCGTAAGAAAATTCCAAAATTTTGACAAAAATTCAAACAATAAATTTTTTGAAAAATTTCATGGCATACGAAAGTTGAACTCTTTTTAATGATTTTTGGAATTTTTTTTGAAAATCCGCCCAGGATTTCAAAAGTTATGGCGGTTTCAAAAATAAAAACATACAAATTTGGCGAATTTGGCGCCACGCCATGGGGCCAAATATGCGATTAACACGGGGGTCTCATTTAATGGGCCAGACTTTTAACTGAAATCACATAACTAAATAAACTGAAATTGCATAACCTGAATTCACAGTACTTTTAATACCATGAAGGCTTCCGTATAACTGAATCCAACCAACCAGTATTTTCATAACTTCTGTTATTACTGATATGCAGATATTGTGATTAGACATTGAGACAGACATTGAGACGGAAATGTGAATGGATCCTTCGTCTGGGGTCCTAGTAGATTCTAAAAAACATAGTGGGTACCCTGGACACGATAAGCAGTCGGGGACCTTCCCTTGTTAGTAATCACTAAATTACGATTTATCATTTTCAAAAAATTGCTCTCATAAAATTGCTTTAAAAAACTTGCTCTAAAAATATTCCTATATATTTAGTTATTTACTCATCCATCTATTTAAGTCACTAATTAGTTACCTACTTACCCTCCAGGACTCAACGTTCTAAATTCTATTTGTTTTATATACCTTGTACCTTCATGGGCCCCAAGAGTAACTATAAGGATAGCATAGAAGCTTCATTCATCCATTCATTCATTCGTTCATACATACATGTAACTACCATGTTACAAATTTCAATAAAACAAAACAGCAAAAATAGCACCCGATCTTAATAAGCAAAGAGCATGTTTTCAAAAAATGCTTTATTCGGTAGGGCGAACCCTGGTTTCTTGATTTCGCCCATGGAAATCCACCAACCTCCACACTTCATCTAAATACTCCAGAAACGAGGCATCACACGCGGCGTAGAGCATCGTCAAGAAAACACCCCCACTCGTATTGCAAACGAAAGACATCCAAAAGTCCACCATGGCCGGAAGGCGGAGAAGGGCCGCCAAAAGAGATTCTGACCAGGTCCCATCTTCGCAAAAGTTTGTCATCACTCCAAGAAAGGGAGGTTGGCAGGGGTTGTAAAGAACAAAGATAGCATTAAATACCGGACACATAAAAACGGTCACGATTATAATTTGCAAAAAGTGTTCCACTCCCTTCGTCGAAGTTCGTATTTTCATTTCACGGGGCTGAAATTCTAGAATATATGTAAATTAGTTACTACACTTTTTTAGACCAGTTTTGTAACTGATATCCATTAACCAATAACTAAAACCTGGACTGAACTGAACCGAAGGCAGCCAATTCGATGTTGGACGTCTTCGAGACATCGCATCTTAGAGACAATTGAAATCTACGAATGTCCACCGAAACAACGTTCCTATAACATCCTTATGCCTACATGCACATTCCGAGCTTTCAAGTACGCCCTACCAGCTGATATTCCTACATCTTTAGGAGGTTTACGACGAATTGGCTGCTTCGGATACATACGCCAAAATATATCCATTTTTAGGAACTACTTACTCCGAAAAAACTCCATCTCCAGGCTGCACATTGAATTGAATAACTGCACCGCCGCCATATCCCCCTGCCAAATCCACCCGAGTATTCCAAACATCACAAAAATCGGCACGATTGCCATACACTGCAGCTTTAAATCCGCCGATCCATCTCCCCAAACCTCCCAACGAACCATTCCCGCCACGTAGGCCGTAAAGATGACAAGCTGGACGCTATAAAGCCGCGACCGCCTCCCTCCCCGGGGAAGACGACGAACTAGACCTTTGGCGTAATCCAAGTCGTATGGTGACGACCACATCAAATTCGCTAAGCGAAGGTGGTACTGCAAATACTTCTGGAAAATCAGGCTCATCATTTTTGCGGCTTCTCGAAAAAAATCGCAACTTCAAGGGGCAACGTTTCTCTTGGAATTGTCACCTCCGTACCAAGACATTCTGCAGCTACTATTATTCCAGACCAGTATTGACGAAACCATTAAATATTTAGAAATAACAAACAATTCAGACATTTAGAAAATGTCATAGTGTTAAGCCAACAACATATTTCGCTGCGTTGGTCATTTACTTATTTATATTCATCAGTTCAAGTTGAACTGTTCAACCATGCCTGTGCAAATCATGAATTTTTCATCATTCAATTTCATTGATTTTTTAGTCCTGCCAACTCATCCTTCCTTTCCCTTAAAATAACCTGCCATTAGCGACGAAATGTTTGGAAGAAGAGACATTCCGCGTGAATAATTAATACAGTCGAATGGAACCTGTACTTTATCGGCGGGAGACATGCCACCCCATATTCTTTCTGGGAAGACGTGAAGTAAACTGTTCTAAAACAAGGCACTTTTATCAATACGTTATTAGTCCTTGGTAAATATCTAGTGCACCCTAAGAAACTGGGTGATAGCCGTTATCATGCTCATCACCATATGACTCTACCGCTTCTGGTGATAGGCAGCGCCACCTTCTTGGTCGCATTATATCACCACTACGTGACAGATTTCTACCACCACATGGTAGCAACCTATCACTGTGTAGTGACACACCAGCACCGCACGGTGGTATTTATCACCAGCCGGTAGAGTCACATATAGTCACCGCCCGGTGATAGAACGGTTATAGAATTTATTACAGTGTATGTAGGTTAATTAATTGTTGTAATTATAAACCAATAGTAACTAGTTTCATCATTTACCTTGCAGTGAAATTCCTTAAAACGATTATAATACGTCTCTACATACATAATTTTCTGCATGCAACGACTACTCGAAATTTCTGCAAATCGTGCACAGGCTTCAATATCATTCATAAATACATTCTTGGAACGAGTGGTATTCTGTCCACTTGATTGAGGAGTAAAACATGCAATCACAAATTTAGGTCTAACATTTAGCTATGCTATTAACGAAATTCGTTGGGCAAGAATGTGTACACTGTAAGAAATTCTATCACCGATTTATCACCAAGCGGTGGTATATGCATATGACTCTACCGGTATGTTATAAATACCATCGAGCGGTGGTTTTGTTCACCACGCAGTGATACGTTGCTACCATTTGGTGGTACTCTGTGATCTGGTGGGGATATAATGTAACCAAGAAGGTGGGGCTGCCTATCACCAGAGGCCGTAGAGTCATATGGTGATGAGCATATGGTAATAACGGCTAGCACCCAGTTGCTTAGATTGTAGAAGCATTCAAATTAACTATTTACAGTATATAAAATAAGTTTGCTCAGGGTCCATTTTGTTTCGTTCGTTATCATGTTTCTCGAACGTTGGGCACAAGGGGGTAGGGTATATAACTGTATATCTTGGAATGCTTATTGTTACTCACATACAAAGTTGTGATGTCATATGCCAAATTTCAACATCAAAAAAGTTTGCTCACCTTTTTGCCTTTAATAGATTATTTCAATAATTTGCCAAACTATGGTCTTATCCCTCATTTCAAACTTTAAGTTAATCCTCCTTGTTAATTGTACTATATGCCAGACATTCTGTATTCATTATTTGTTGGTAATTTTTGTCAATAATGAGTAAAAAGCGTGTAAGCTTGGACTGGACGTGCTAGATGTGGTCGTAAAACAGTATGTAAAGGGGCTCGGATATCAACGAATTAGTAATAAATGAATAATATAGAGGGGGACTTTCAAGGGAATGCTGTAAAAATATAAAAAATAATGGGCTTAATGATTCAAATCAAACTTCCGGAAATAAGATGCAGAAAAATGTACTTAAAGGCCATGCAACATGCACCAAGCCGCTTCTTCCCGTTGCCCATATTACAAAAATATTGGCATGGACTGATAAAGGTCAAAAATGAACCGATCAAGACTGCAAACGTGTCAATTAGTCAGACCACATCCAGATCAATATTTTTGGGACGGATGGGGTATATCGCGTACCGAGAAGAATTGGAGATGGTGACAAAAGCAAACACTTTTACCCACTGTCCTGGAAAAAAATGCTCTGGACGGTAAATATGCAACACTGTCGCACGTATGTCGAGGAACAATCTGCCGTTAATGGATAGTATATAGTACCTATTTTACATGGATTGATCCTAATGTGATTTGTACATGAGACACATTCGTGTTTTTTACGCAAATCTGCTCCCAAATAAGTTCAACTTTACCCCCAACACTATCAATATTCAAAAAATTCTTTATTTCCCATTACTTTCCCCACTCCCACACCGCCCCATTCACCACAACATTCTCCAACTCAACCACATCCACATTCTCCACGACGTAGTGCGGATCATTCGCCACCCCATTGAACGTCGCATTCTCCAACCTCAACCCCACAAAGCTCGCATTCGGATGTCCCTCATAGCCCCGAATGTAGCACGTATATGGCGCGAACTCCAACAACGTCAAATTCTGTATGACAAAATCCTTGATGACCGGCACAAATCCGGCATTTGGTCCCTCCTCGTAGAAGAAGTCGACTTCAATCACCTGTCTTCCAACCCTTCCGACGGTGATGTCCCGGAGATAAAACCCTTCTAGAAGACCACCCCTGATCGCCGTATCGAGCATATCGCTCGAGAGGTATATCCGTTCCGCAAAAACCTTCTTCACCCCGCCACTGATGCACGATCCTAACGTCACACCGCCATGACCTTCTTCCATCGAACAATCTTGGATAACGATATTCTCACTGGAAACGTTGACCCGCCGACCGTCCGCATTCCGCCCTGATTTGATGGCTATATCGTCATCGCCGTTGTTAAAGGTGACGTTGTAGATCCAAACATCTTTGCACGATTCTGGGTCGACGCCATCCGAGTTGGGTCCGAGGCTCGTGATGTTGACGTCCCGAACGACGACGTTATCACACAAGACGGGGTGGACGATCCACATGGGCGAGTTGGTGATCGTTATGCCCTGGATGAGCACGTTTTTCGAGCGGTACGGTTGAATGAATTGCGGTCGAAGGTAGTGGCCTTCGCCGAAGACACGGTCGACGACGGGAACGTCGTCTTCAGCCATCTGGAAGAGAGCGTCGCGATCGATGGTTTGGTTTATCGGGGTTGTTTCCCAGCACTGCGCGTACCACGTCCCTTTCCAGGGCCACCTTAAGAAAACAAAATGACGGAATTTTAGTACATTAGAAATCGTTGGGATCCTGCGACGACCTATCGATGACGTACCAATGCTCGCAGTCGCAGTTCCCGTCCAGTAGCCCAACCGCTGTGAGGGCGATGTTTTCCTCTTCGAAGGCGTACACGAACGGGGAGTAGTTGATCAGCTCGATACCTTCCCAACGCGTGAAGACGAGCGGATATGCCGTCGTGTTGCGGGTGAAGCGAACAATAGACTCGCGTGTGGCGAGGTGGACGTTGACGTTGGATCGGATGGTGATCGGACCTGAGGTAAAAAAGCTTCCGTTAACTTATGTACCACATTAACAGCCCCGGGGTGTCTGTATGTGTTTTTTTAACTGACCGCCTCGTTCTACACTATCTCAAGTTACCTGAATCTCTATGACATGCCTGGGGAATGGCAAGGTGTACACCAAAATGCAAAAAACATGTAATGCTACAAGACGTTATTGTTCTTTACATGTTTTTTTGCTGTTTTCCTCTTGCTTTTTTACGGTTTTAACAATCCCAACTAGTAACGTACAGCAAATCTACCATTCCATAATTGTCAATAAAGCAGAAAAACCAAAGAACCAAAGACGCTGTTCTATTAAGAAAACAAGTCATTCACTTAAAAAAAACCCCAATTTTGCTTCGAAGCTCATTCAATATTTTGCCTAGACGCTTGCCTAATGCACACACACACACTTATCGCAAGTTGCCCCCAACCCCTAATCAGGCATACCCACACCTAGTAAATAAAGTAGTGATATACTGAATAATTACCCGTGATAAAAGTCCCATTCGGAACGACTACAACCCCACCCCGAATATGTTGGCGAGCCCGATCGCATTTCTAAAAGCGTTCGTATTTGCATCTACCACGCTGAAGGGTGCCTCTACATCGTTCAGGTTTGGTGCTGGGATCGCTCCATACTCCAAGATGTTGAACGTAACGTCGGGAAACGTTGGCTCACTGATTCTCGCCAGGATGATGGGCACCTGATCCCAGGGGTCGGCCTGACCTTGGACACCTGTCAGAAATAAGAACAATTAATCTTTCTTTTTTTGAAAAAAATATGGAATTGCAATATTGTGAAAAATTTAGTAACCCATGGGGGAATCGAACCCACGTCTTCTGAATACATGTCCGACGCTTTTTTCCATTAAGCTACCAAGGCCACTGCCTTGTTCACATGGCAATTGAACTCATATCTATGTGGTCTTTCTGTGAATTTCTACTTCCACAGGTTACAACGAACTGTTGTACTTTACCTGAGAAAGTTCACTTGATTTAAAAAACTTTTACTTCAAAAAACTCACTTTCAATTAATCTTTCCAATTTTGAATGTATTCAGTATTTCGTTTCTTGCATTTCTTGCACAGCACTGCAAGAAACCGGAGGCGCAATTAAGGCAAGAAAGTGCCAGAAATAGAACGCCATCTAGCACCGCGCCCTATTAACTATTCTGGCGAGCTGATTTTCTTGCCCCGCTGCGTTTCTTGCGAAAAAACTGAGGTAAACCATTTTCTTACACTAGTTTGCTGCAAGTGATTACTTTCATGAGGAACACTGCAAGTGTGATTTTGCTACTTTCAAAAAGCTGGAAGTGCAAGAAATGCGAGAAACTGGAGGTGCAAGAAATGCAAGAATGACAAGAAGTGAAACGCCATCTACCACCGCGCCTATTAACTATGCTAGCGGGCCGAGTTTCTTGTCGTAAAAAAATGGTGAAAAAACCACTTTCTCATACTAGTTTCTTCCAAGTGGTTCCTTCCACCAGAAACCCTGCTTACACTAAATACCTAGAAATTTCCCATACCTGCAATTATCCCGACCAACAGCGGTAAAATAATCGTGATGGGTAACTTCTCCATTTTTCAGTCTTGGTTGCTTCACGCTGTTCAATTAAATGAACATTTTTACCCAACGAATCCCATTTTATAGCAGTGATGGCTTTATAAATAAACACTTTTACCCAGTCATCCCATTGTTTGGGATGACAGTGATGGATGTCCATACCGCCGTCAGCCGTTAATCAATCCACAATCAATTAACCTGGAATTTCTTGCACACGGTGGGGCTTTACCTTCCGCACGGCACTACTGCTTCAGTATTTTACACCACACTTGAGAACACTTAATTTTGCGTGGATACCTTCTCAACTTATAGGGCGTACCATTCCCCCAGCTCTACCCTGGTCTTTATATACCTTGGGAAAAGGCTCAATTCTTACAAATATCCACGATGCAATTATCAGTGGTATTTACCACTTTTTACCGGACGGTGGGAAAAAGTGGGAAAAACACACTTTTTCCCACCCACCAAAATCATTATGAAACTGGAGAAACTTATTTCTTAGGCCGATTCCACTACATGGCGCCCCTGCATATCGCTAAGTGGCGCTCCATTTTCCCCACTTCCCACTGGAAAAAACTGCGTGTGAAAAAGTGTCTTTTCCCACTTTTCCCACCGTTCAGGGAAAAAACGTTTTAGACGGGGAATATGCAACACCGGTAATTATCACGGTGCTATAATATCGTTTAAATCTGTCTGGTAATAAATACAAGAATCCAAATTGAGATAACCCGGCCTTATGCCGTATCGCGCAACCATTCACCAAACGGCAGCATAACCATTTACATACTTCTTTTTTTATCACTACTTCAAACTAAGCCATGTGATTATCTATATTTTTGCACACGGTGTCCAAATCCTGACTCCTCTGATCTGTGAACAACTTTTGCCTGGAATGATATCCCCAGGATTTCGATTGGTAAAAACCAAATTGACCATTGAAAAAGTGGGAAAAAGGCACTTTTTACCACCCACTAAAATAAGTGGGAAATGGGGAAAATTGAAGAAATGGGAAATACTGTGCTTTGGGGCGATCCGAAACAACTTCTTTAAAACATAATATTTTCAAAATCTGAGTTCATATTCGTATTCCCCATGAAATTCTGAGCAAATAAGTGGGTAATACGGTTAAAATCGAGCAATCTTAAAAATTAACATGTATTCATATGGAAAAATGGAGAAAAAGTTCAAAACTGTTCAAAACTGTTCAAAAGGGGAAAACGTAAACTGAAACGTAAACTGAAAACGTATTATATACCAAAATTTTCAGAATTTGATGGAGATGACGAATATGAAGTCGAATTCCGAAAATATTGAGTATTAAAGAAGTTAGCTTTCCCCATTACTAAACACATGGGCCGCCATTTTTCCCGTTTTGGACGATAAATACCATTTTTCCCGGTTTTCCCCACTTTTTCCCACCTGCCGTAGGAAAAAATAGTTTTGGACGGGAAAAACGAAACCCTGGATATCCCACTTGATTGATGGGTTCGAAAATACTTAGCTATGTACAAAATATAATATTGCACAACGGTTCCATAAAACTTTGGTCTGAAGCAAGACAAACAGTGTTGCAAGTGGTATGTACCACTTTTCACATTGGGAAAAAGTGGGAAAAAGACACCTTTTCTCACCGACCGAAATCGGTGGGAGGTGGGAAAAACTGGGAAAAAGTTTGTACTTCTTAGGCAGATTCCACTAAATGGAACCCATGCATACCGCTAAGTGGCGGTCCATTTTTCTCACTTCCTACTGAGAAAAAGTTGATTGGAAAAAGTCTATTTTCCCACTTTTTCCCACTGTCCGGTAAAAATTGTTTTGGACTGAGAACTTGCAATACTAATGACAACATAAAGAAATATATCACTGTATTTTATGCACATTTTGCATGGGTTTCCTTAAATAAGTACGGGTAGCATATTATACTCGACTCTTTAGTACTTTTACAAGTCACGTGGGTGGGAAAATTTTCACAAATTATCAGTGCAATTATCAGTGCAATTAGTGCAAATTATCTCATTGAATTTGAATGAAATTACCACATTTCATGCTAAATTCTCCCTACGCTAATTTTCGTTGGGATGCAATTTTCATGGAAATTTCATTCCACGTAAATAGCTGACGTATAAGACGTTTATACGTCAGTTATTTACGCGGAATGAAATTTCCATGAAAATTTTTACCAAACAAAAAAATAGTGCAGAATGAAATTAGCGTAAAATGAGGTAATTTCACGCAAATTCCACGAGATAATTTGCACGTGGTGCGAGAAAAATTTCTGAATGTCTTCATAATATTTGTTACATGGCAACAATTTTTTCGTACCCACCACTATTTTTGATCTTTTTCACGTGAAATAACGTGTAAACATTTGAAGCCAATTCCACGCGAAATATTATCAATTTTCACTCGAGTGAAAATTCCGCGTTATTTTTACTGTTGACCTCTGAACCATTTTGTAAAATTCGGATGAAATTTTCACGTGAAAAACGTGACATGTAAACAGCACTTAAACGGCACGCTAGCTCTATAACTTTACCTAGTCTCACAGGCTCCTCCTTGAAGCTAAGAATAACTGCAGGGACGAAGTTGAGGAGAAAGGCCGAATTTTCATTCCTTTCAATCTCGGTGCCAAATACAATCTTTCGTAAGAAATGGCCCAAGTCCTAAGAACTCCTACATACCCTACCACTCACTTTCCTTCGCCGAGTGCCCTTCATCCCATAACCTTGCCACCTTCGAGGCTAAAGAAATAAATTTCTCTGCAACCCAGAAGAAAGAAACACAGACTAAAGACACCCCGGATCCTCACTCTGTTCCTACATTTCCCCTGATACGGACCGGAGGATCGCAAAATTTGCAAATTTAAGCCATACAAAAAGTGAAATCATGGCTATCACGAGACTCCTGACTCTAAGCATTGTCACTCTTCTGATTTTGCTCACCTCTATTCCACGTAAGTCTCTGTGCAATTTACATACATTCTTTCCGCAATTATTACCGAACGGTGACAAAATCGATACTAAATACGTGATAACTAACTGATAAGGTATCCTTTTTACATGATAGTCGAAATTCGAGTTTTAATTTAACTTATCTTCTTGAAACACACACACCACATCACTTGTCCCCAGAAAATTTCTTGAATTGACTCAGGCACTCTTCCTCCTCCCAGCGGGGACGAGAGGAATTGAAGGATGTTTCTCCACAATCGGAAACATTATGACCGAGAAGAGAAACCGCCTTAGTATTGAAAAAGCGAAAAAACCGCGTTCTATCGCTGGTTATTATTAAATAGTTAATCATGTCCAGGGTCCAAAGAAGAATAACAGACGAAAATTTCCGAATGAATCTGAATGAGTCGGGAAAGTTCTAAATTAAAATACGTATGACTTAAAATCTGTTCCCGTGTCATACATGTTCCTGCGTCAGATAATACAGGGTGTCCCATTTATACGTGGAAAGGTTTTAGACACCCGCGCTCTAAGGCGGGTGAATAAAAGTCAAATTTGTTTTCCAAATCTGGTAGAGCAACTCAAAAAATAATTGTGTGAATTTTTTTGTAAACATATTGTAAACATTTTGTAAACATAAAAATGACCTAAGCTTCCTCGGTAGAAGTAGAGGTACAAGTGAAACACTTTTCCAGTCGAAGTTACACCCGAATCGTTTAAAAAATGAGCTTAAAGTATGAGGTCATGAATTAGGATAGTATTTAGTTTATAACACAGTGTATGGTAGAGTTGTTAAAAGTCAAGCTAAGAATCTTGAACACTTAGCACCTTAAAAAATCAACCTATTACCGAACGTACCAAAATCGTCTGAACAACTTTACCAACTAGTACAATCCCAAATCCTAATCCAGAAAGGCTAAACTGTTTAAATCCAATAAATCAACTCTCCTGAGACTAATTAAAACTGGTTTGATAAAGATTTTAACAAAAGCGGCCTTGTTCCACGCATTTAAAGACCATCACATCGGGAATCAGTAGACCAACGCTAAAAATCTGTATGATAACCACCCATCGGAGGGTCGTGATGCGTTTGTCGTCACAATCGACGAATGAGTCTTCATGGTAGATGAGTATAATGGAACGAGGTCAACATGCTGCATTTTTCTAGAAGAAAAATACCACTGAAGTGCGTATGCGTGAGAATAAACGGCCACTGGTGAAACATAATTTCAAAAATTACACCGTGAGGAAGGAGACAAAATTTATAATCGCGATGGCACAATTACATCGCATATTGCGAAGAAAATTCCGCAGTATGCAAAAATTGCACAAGATAAATTTAGTCCTGAGGCAATAGAAAATCAAGACACACCTAATATGTCATCGGACATTGGCCGTTTAGAAATTTTCAGGTTTTCCATCGTGGCACAGCAACTTTTACCCTGACGAGTAACGACTCTGGATGGACTCTGGAACGCTTAAAATGATGAGTGAAAAAAAATAACCCCAGAAAAGTTACAAGGAGTTTTTTAAACGGGCAAAAAGTGATACATTCTTGTATTTAAGAACAAGGGCCACCATTTCGAGCAAGTTTCGAATCAAAAATAGATTCGGGTGTATGTTAGAAAAATCCTCAAACCTTTCCACGTATAAATGGGACACCCTCTGTTGTCATAATTATAACAACACTTACAATTTTATTTGAAACATTTTTGGCGTGACTTGACCTTAACTTAAAATTAATTAATTTTCTATGCATGGTAATTGTGCAATAAATAATTAACACAATTTTTCAATATACGGCATATTATTATATTTATTTACACAAGAAATTAAACCTTCGCAATCTTTTTTAATTTTGGCAACATCTGCAAATTCATATAAATCGAAATTTTCATGCCTTTCCCTCATTCCCCGTTCCTTTGCTAATCTCTGATGCACCTTAAACATTTTCATAGTGTTAGTAGCATCTTTTTCTACCTTGTGAACTCCAGCCTGGATGTCCACTCCCAAGAAATGTAAGACTAATCGTCTTAGACTAATTGGTGGGTTACAGGATTGCCATG